CCTCATCAGACTCTGAATTAATTCAAAATAGATTCCTACCTACTGTCAAAAGCCATAGACCTAAATGTAAGAACTATAAAACTCTTAGAAGAAAACGTAGGAGTAAATCTTTGTGACCGCGGGTTGCCAATGGTTTTCAGATGCAACACCAAAGCAAGTGACAGAAGAAAAAATAAATTGCACTGAATCAAAATTAAAAACTTTCGTGTTACAACCACCAGGAATGTGAAAAGATGACCCACAGGAGAAAATATTTGCAAAAATCATGTATCTGAAAAGGGCTGGTATCTAAAATATATCAAGAAATGACTACAACTCAATAATGACAACCCAACTAAAAAACGGGCCAAGATGGAATACAGATTTCTCTAAAGAAGATAAACAAATGACCAATCATTCAAAAAGATCCTTAACTTCATTAGTCATTAAGAAAATGCAAACCAAAACCACAATGAGATATTTCACACCCACTTTGTTGTTGTTAGGTGCCATCAAGTTGGTTCCTACTCATAGGACCCTATGTACAATAGAATGAAACACTGCCTGGTCCTGCACCATCCTCACAATTGTTGGTATCTTTGGGCTCAATTGTTGCATCCACTGTGCCAATCCATCTCCTGGAGGGTCTTCCTCTTTTTCGCTGACCCTCTACTTTACCAAGCACGATGTCCTTCTCCAGGGACTGGTCCCTCCTGATAAAGTACGCAAGAAGTCTCGCCATCCTCCCTTCTAAGGAGCATTCTGGCTGTATTTTTTCCAAGACAGATTTGTTTGTTTCTTCTGGCAGCCCCTGGTATACTCTGTATTCTTCCCCAACACCATAATTCAAATGAAACAATTCTTCATTTTTCCTTATTCATTGTCCAGCTTTCTCATGTATATGAGGCCACTGAAAATACCATGGCTTGGGCCACACCCACTAGGATGGCTCTAATCAAGAAGACAGACAGTAACTCTTGGGGAGGATGTATAGAAATTGTAACCGTCATACTTTGCTGATGGGAAAGTAAATGGTGCAGCCACTTTGGAAAAGAGTTTGGCAGTTCCTCTAAAGGTTAAATATAAAGTTAACATGTAATGTAGCAATTCCATTCCTAGTATAAACCCAAGAGAAATGAAAACATAACAACCACATGAAAACTTGTACATGAATGCTCATAGCATTATTCATAATAGCCCCAAAGTAGAAACAACTCAAACGTCAACTGGATGAATAAAACATGGAACATCCATACAACAGAATATTATTTAGCAATAAAAAGGAATGGAGAATGGTTAAAATAGCAAATGTTTTGTTACATATATTTTACCACAATAAAACTAAAACAAAAAAGTTTAATGTTAAAAAAAAAAAAAAATACATATGCCACAACATGGATGAAACTTGAAAACTTTATACTAGGTGAAAGAAGCCAATCAACAAAGACCACATATTGCATGATTTCATTTATATAAAACGTCCAGAAATGGCAAATCTATGGACAGAAAGTAGATTAGTGGTTGCCATTAAATTGCACACTTTAAATGAATGAA